GTGCTTAACAATTTGTGCACTTTTCTGCATAAATGCTATATTTCAATTTAAAAAAAAATCATCTCAGGGCTAACAGAGTGAAACCAGAAACAAAACAGAGCTCTTATAAGTACTGAAAGCAAAAAGGCACAGCAATTTAATTTAAGCAAGATAATTCAAAAATTTGCTGCACTAAAAGCTTAAAAGTTCCATTTCATTAAATTGTATTTTTTTATTCACTTAAGATGACTGTCAGGCCAAAGCTATTTTATTATTATATGTTAGTATGGCATGAAGCAAACAGTCTCAAAATAAAATAATTCAAATCATTTAAATTTTATTTTACTGATTTTTTAAAGTGAAATTTTGGATATTCAAGCCCATTTTGTTTTTCATGTTAGTTAAAAACCATTTCCTGGGGCCTTGGTTTAATGTCTGTGCATCCCCAGATGGGAAAGCCCTTGGGACAAAGGGGTTTTCCTTCTGTGGTGCAAAGCAGGCACTCACTATTGCTCTTCCAGAGTCAGTCCATTAGATCAGCTCACTCCTGACAATGGAAGCAACAACAGTTCAGCCTGCCTTTGTACCATCACTGTGGATTAATGCGTAATTTCCAGCAGTCTGAAATACCAAAAATAACCATTCCCACCTTTGTGAATTTCTGGGGCTCTTTAGATCTCCCTCTGGAATACATATAGTCACGAGGTCTGGAGTATTGACCCACCTGAGAGCAGTCAGTGTGACACAGAGGAAGGCCCAGGCTGTCCCCCAGTCTTCTGGCAGCTTGACCTCTGCCTTCTTCTAGGTCCTCTCCTGTTTCTGGTCAGTCAATCCATTATCATTAGCCATGTGCTCCACACAGTTGCTCCACCTACCACTGAAATAAATCCCTTGGAGTATAGAAACCGTGTGGCCACACTCCGGCTTTCTCAGACATCTTTGTTTTCTTGGACCCTCTGGGAGGGGAGGAGATCTACTCAGGCGCTGAGATGGACGTCCTGAGACTGCAGGTAGCCCCCACAGGAAGTGAGAGGCAGCTACACATACCTTGGCTTGCATTCTGGGTTGCAAGAGAAACCATGAGGGGACTGTGGAGGAGACCTCACTCATCCTCCAGGCTGCCCCTACCTGGGAGAACCTAGAGCAGGGCCCCTGCCACTGAGCTGCTCTCCTTTATCCACCATGAGGACACCCGGGCCTTTCTTTGGTCACTCAGTTTCCCTGTATATTAGCTTCCCATAGGAGAGCCCTCCTTAAATTCAAGCTCTGTTGTTTTTGCACAGATTTTTCGGTGACATATCTATTCCTAACTTCACCATCTTACAAACAATTGTGTGGGTCCTTTAAGAAGGTCCCCACCATCCCTAATTAGAGTTCTCTGGTAAGAAGATAACATTTGCTTTTTACATAACTTTTAATCATGAGTGCCACAGAGATTTTCCTTCTGAAAATACAGAGGACTCACAAGGGACAAATAAGATAATAATCAGTTCAAAATTTACATGGACAGAGGCACACCACCCAGAACAATTCCTTGAGAGCCTGCAGCCAGAAGACCGAGGCTCTACCAGCAAGGGCTGTGGTCAGCAACCCCCAGCCTGTGGATCAGATCTGGCCTGCTGCTTGCTTTTGTATAGTTCCTGAACTTAGAATGGTTTTTACATTTATAAATGGCAAAAAAACAAAAGATTATTCCATCACACATGGAGATTATATGACATTAAAATCTCAGTGTCCACAAGTAAAGCTTTATTGGAACACAGCCATGCCTACTCGTTTCCGTATTGTCTATGGCTGCTTTCACACTACAACAGCAGAATTGTCTTGATAGAGACCGTATGGCCTGCAAAGATGAAAACAGTCACTATCTGGCCTTTTACAGAAAATGTTTGCCAACCCTGGGCTAAGGTGATGTCTGTTTGCAGGATGTCCACTCTGACTCTGACTGTTTTGTGCCTCTGGGGCTGTCTCCACAATAAGTCAAAGGCAAGTCCTAATGCTGGTTTCAATTTCACACTAACCGGGAAAACCAACACAGCCTGCTAAAGCAGTGCCTTTCAACCTGTGGTCCCTAGTCAATTCAATGGGTCACAAAATTTAACGCAGTTGGTTGTGCCCAGCATTTAATGAAATAAAAGAGAAAACTATCAAGGGCATTGTTATAAACTGAACAGTATCCCTGCAAAATTCATGATTGAAACCCTAAGCCCCCAGCACACATCAGAATATGACTACATTCGCAGACAGGCCTTTCAAGAGGTAACTAAGTTAAAATGAGGTCATATGGGTGGACCATAACTCAGTATGACCGATATCCCTGTAAGAGGAGGAGATTGGGACACAGATACACACAGAGGAAAGGCCACGTAAGGACAAAGGAAAAGATAGCCATCTACAAGCCAAAGAGAGAGGCCTCAGGAGAAACCAAACCCACTGACACTTTGATCTCGGACATCTAACTTCGAGAGCTGTGAGGAAATGAATTTCTGTTGTTGAAGCCACCCAGTCTATGCTACTTTGTTATGAAAGCCCTAGCAAATTAGTACAGGCCTCACACAGAGCATCATTTTTCACTCGCACATGTGCATGATAGACTTGTGATATTAAAATGTATTAAATTCTGTGTGTCACACCAAAATAAATGGAAGAACACTGTACCAGAGGGAGAGACAAACACGCTTCGTAGCAAAATCACAAACAGAAGAGTGTTCTAATTGAACCAAGATACAGAAAGAGAAAAGGGTATTGAACATGTTAGGCACTTTGCATACTTTACTTCATTTTAGTCCTTACGGTAACCCCATACAATGGGTCTTCACCTGATAAAGTAACTAAGGCAACTAGAAGTAACCTACTGAAGTGGCAGAGGCAGATCTGACTCCGAAGCTTACACATTATTTCTCATGATGTATCAATTCCATTTCTATATTCCTGAGAGTAGGTTGAGATTGTAGTCTGGCAATAAATAAGGGATAAGATGTATAAATAATAATAGCTAACATTTACTAAATACCGTGTGCCAGGTTCTGGGTTAGGCTTTACATACACCTCACTTTATCCTTATTAATACCCCAATGGCTTAGATTCTATCCCTATTTTTTCAGTTGTGGAAGAAATTATTTAACTTGCCTAAGACTACAAAACTGGTAAGTTGAAGACCCAGGATTAGAACCTTCATTAGTCTGACGATTGAGCTAGAGCTCTTGACTGCCACAAACATTCCCATCTAATTGTGTTTATTGCCAATCTAAGTATAGCCATGTGCCACATAATGACACTTCAGTCAATGACAGACCACATATATGACGATGATGGTCCCCTAAGATTACAATGCTGGTATTTTTTACTGTGCTTCTTCTATGTATAGTTATGTTTAGATACACAAATATTTATCATTGTGTTATAATTACCTACAGTATTTAGAACAATAAAACGCTGTTCGGGTTTGTAACCAAGAGTAGTGGGCTATACCATGAAGACTAAGTCTGTAGTAGGTTACACCACATAGATGCACTCAATGATGTTCGTACAATGACAAAATCACCTAACGAAGCATTTCTCAGAATGTAACCCTGTCCTGAAGCAATGTGTGACTGTATATAACTGTTTGCTGGTAGTCTCCAATTGAAGAAAAAAATGCATACTTTTAATCATACATGTAGTAAATTAACTGAGCATACATTATGTGCCAGGCCCTGTTCTGAGAGCTGGGGATCCTGCCATCATAGTGATGCCATGGATAAGAAATCTTAACGATGTAACCACACCATGCTGACTGAAATCCCCTCATGGGTAAAGGGAGAGGAAGGTAAGATTCAGGTGGGTTGAAGAGACAGTCCAGTGAAATTGCAGAATTGTAGAAAACAGAAGATGCTGAGTCAGGATTACTAAACAGAAATTTTTAGCAATTTTATTTAATATCGTTTGTATCCAGGTTTACCTGTCATGTGGTCATGTCTTATCTGGAAGTTTCTCAATGGCAGGGGCTATACCATACTTTAAAACACCCACCTCGGTGCTTGGCATAGTACATAGTATTTTGAATTTACTATTTTTTTTGCAATGTTGTTTCCAAGAAAGATGTACAGAAGTTGCCCAGGGATTTTCAGATATAATGACAAGGGTCAGACAATCCTTAGAAAGTCTCAGTAGAGGAGGACAGATCATGCTGAATGGTATCAAGGTCATGAGCACAGAAATAAATATTTAACTGAAACAGTTTTAGTGAAATCAAACGGGATACTAGTACAATGGCTAAGCAACCAGAATGAGTGATTGGTTACAAAAATGTGAGAAAAAAAATTAGGCTGAGTGAGAGGAAACCAGGGTGTGGAATATTAAGATTTTTAATGTATTTGTGGCAAATACATTTTTCCTAAGGTTTTTGTGGTTTTTTTTGCTTTTAGTTTATAACTTTCTGTGTATAGAATTTTTATATTTTCACTAAACCTAGTAATCCTTTCATCAAGAAATAACCAGAGAAGTGAGCAAATATTTTCATTCCAGAATGTTTATTACAGTATTATTTATAATATCAAATATGAGAATATTTAACTGCATAATAATAGGATAGTGAATGGTTAAATTAGTCTGGTTACACAATGGAAAACTTCAGTTATTCAATTACATTAGAAAACAATCACAATTTAATATTAAATGAAAGAAGCAAGGTGATCAAAATCAAAGTTTTATGTATATATGATACACACACACCCCCCACACACAAAATGGCAAAATAAATACATCTTAACATTGCTATCTCAATATGGTATGACTAAGAGATATTTTCATTTTCTTCTTTATAGCTTACCAAATTTTCTACAATGAAAATTTTAAAGTCAGGAAAAAACAAAATGTTCTTTAAATAAGTTTAAATCAAAGAGAAAGTATACACATAGTACCTCTACTGTGCATCTCTGATTTGCTGAAGACTTTAGTCACCAGAGGCCTCTAACCGCACTGGCATATGTCGCAAATTCTGGTTATTTTAAATAAATATATTTATATATTTCTAAACTCACCTGCAAAGAAATTTCAAAATAGATTCAGCAGTGGCCAAAGGCAGTCCCCAGGACGAGATAAGTTTTAGTGAATTCTTTGGCTTTGACAATACATTCATTTAATATTTACTGAGTGTCCGTCATGCTCCCAGCACTCTGTTAGGTACCAGAGGGTCAAATTGGGTCCCTGGGAACAAATGACCCATCGAGTTGACAATCGTCTTACAGACCCTGACCCTTACAAGATGCAGTGGAAGTCTGAGCTGGGTAGTTAACTGTGCAGACCTGCTCTCAGTTCTCCTACCTCATCTGGGCTCTGACCCTCCCTGGATGCGTGGCTCTGAAAAAGGCTGGCTTCACCTCTCTGGCTCCAGCTGCCTCATTTGTAAAACAAGGATAATCCTGACCCAGTTCATGGCACTGTGGTGAAGAATAAGTGAAAAGCATTCTGGGCTTGTTTTTATCTCTACAGTGCCAGATGGATTCTACATGTTAATAGCTACTGTTGTTTCCTTCCTTCAAAAATTGTATATTTACTTTTTAGGAAAAAATAAAGGGTTGGAAGTAGAGTTCAGTGATTAAAGGGATATTTCATATTTTTCTTCCTTGGAAATCCAGATTAGCAATGACAGAAATGAATACTCATGTTTCCAACAACAGTCAAAAGTAAAGTGGAACTGAAAGATCTTGCAAAGTTCAGTAACCATTACAAGGACAAATCTAGGTGAGATGCTACTAGTCATTAGGGAAATAGTTCAATTATGATGAGCACTTCAAAAATCTAATAAGATTCGCTTACAGTTTTTCCTCTCTACCTTTGAGGCAGGGTGATTCTAAAAAAGCAATGTTCAAAAATAAACAAGTTTTTAAAAATTTAATGTTTCTAAGAAAAGACTAAAGGGCACAGGAAGGATGCCAACTGTATGTCCAAATCAGACGTAAATGTACAGATATCTCCTGTCTCTCTCCCAAACTCAACTCACTTCCCAAACATGGGGAACATTTGTAAAAATCAGAAGATGAGGTGGAAAAAGAGGTGGGGAGAGAAGGGAAAAACACAGAGACATTAAAATGGGATATGCTTAGGTGAGATGTTTCCCCTTACTAGGTATTGAGGTGAGCTAATAACAAGCATACCAATACATGGACAGAGAAACCGCAACTCTAACTCCTTTTTAGTGTTCACTTTTTATGTGAAAAATGAAGGATATTTTCCCAGTTACATACTATTCATTTCTGATATCTTCTGTTTCCTTGTGGTCCTTTCATCATAGTAAGGATTGGTAAATGGTATTAATAGGTTCAGACAGCTTCACAAATATCTGAACTAAAATCCCGCTACCCCTAGGTTCTCTGTGTCATGATGCTGCCTGTCCAGAACCACTGAGGAAGAGCAGGGCACAAATGGCTCAGGTGAACAAATGTCTACTGTTCTCTGTCTGTGAGGCTGTCACCTGTACAATTCCCTTCTTACTGCACCCATACCGTCTCCATCCTTGTTATGTGCGAGTCCCATAGCTGCCAGCTCCCCTGTGGATTATGTGCAGCAACGGCAGCCATGGGTGACATTTCCAGCCCTGGTTAAATATGGACAAACCTCGAAACTTCCAACCAGGGTGGGGCAGTCCTGTAAAAATGGTAACTGGCAATGTATATTCTGTAGGACATGAGTGTGCTATGACACATTCAGCAATTGCTGTACTTTTTAAAAGGGAGTTGTAAAAATTATCTTTAAAATGCTTGTTGATGCCCTGTGGGAATGAGTCACTTTGTGAAGCAGGATCAAAATGGATCCTCTATTATGGGTTTCTGCTGGCTCTTTGATCCTAAACGACTTTATTAATGTTAATAGGAGTTATACACACATCAATGAGAGAATAAATTCCTTGGGTTTACTGGAGCTTCAATTAATGATCTGTAATAAACAACATAAAATGCTTTCTAATTTTCTTTCAAGTAATGACACCCTGCCCCAGAAGAGCTGGAAAATGAGGCACAGGTCTCAGCACAGGGCAGGAAGGACTTGGGGGGAGGAGGGGGCTTGGGAGAAACAAGGCTCTACAGCTGTGGAAGGCTCTGTAGGGCGAGTCCTCACAGCCACTCACGGGACTGGGGCAGGAGGGATGGACACCGCTTGCCAAAGGGATCATGAATATGAGGAAGGGAGGAAAAGAAAATGCACAAAAAGTGAGCTGCATGCAGAAGGAATTTACTATAATCTAAAACAGGAACGACTGCAACCGTGCTTCCTAAATCTGTCACAGGCTCGTCCCATTTTTTCAGAGTTTAAGTTAATACTATTCACTGACTTACAAAAATACCCACTAGGATGAAAATCGGAATTTAAGTTCCAAGGATGATGCAGCAGAATTCCTAATGAACAGGTTATTTTGCAGTAACACAAAGCTCTGCCTCAAATGTCTGGAAACCCAGCTTTAGATTTAACCCTCTCCTGCCCATGCCTCCATTTCTCTCCTCAACTCTTCTCATGGGAAACCAAATGCCAGATTATTGATATCCCCAGAGGATAGCAGCCCATGGGGGGTGCAGCAGAGACAAGGATAAATGGCAAATGTCTAACTTTCTTGATTTGAAAAAATAGAGCAAAATTTCAATCTGAAAGTCTCATTACTATTTGCTCGTTCATACTTAGTCACCTTACACTTCCTTACATTTTATCCTGATGCTTCACAGATAGTGGAAAGACCTCTGTCAACAAATCGCAAGTCCACCACATTAAGGATTAGATGCACAGTGGCAGAAGGAAGAGGATGTGTATGCTTAGCTGCTGAGAGTCTAGTTTCATACCTGAGAGATCTGGAAACTCTGTGTGTACTATTGGTGATGCTGCAGGTGGCCAAGCAGCCCTCGAACCACTGGCAACAACGGGGTAGTATCTTGATCTCCTGGCTCAGTAGTCACTTCCCACACAGCAGATTTTAGAGCACTTCAGGTTAACGGGGGTATTGAATTTATATATTTCAAGGTAAACCACTGCCATCATCATCAAGGCAGAGCTCCATATGCTGTGTACATTTTATTTAGAATTAGGTGGCTTTTCAAGGGAGCTCCCCATTTTTCTTGTATCACCTGAACAAACATCTCTACTGTTTGCTGTCTGTGAGGCTGTCACTTGTACAATTCCCTTCTTACTGCACCCATACCTTCTCCATCTTTGTTATGTACGAGTCCCATACATGCCAGCTCCCCTGTGGAAATGTGCAGGATTGGCAGCCACGGGTGACATTTCCAGCCCTGGTTAAATATGGACAAACCTTGCAACTTCCTTCCTCACCAGGAAGCAGAATAAATGGCAATTCTTACGACATGTAGTTTCATTGAACAAATACATACATAGGGAGAGAATTTGTTGGCTAGGGAAATGACGGGGTGGGTAATGCTGGAATATCAAAATTCAACAGAACCAGCCACTTAGACCCATCAGGGAATACATTGTTCACTCTGAATTATCAGTAAACTGAGGAGTCTCTCCAGTGGTCCAGGTCCTACTAGAAAAACACGAGCCACTTACAAAAATAGCAGGTGTACCTGAGACTGCGACAAATCAAAGAAGTGCCTGGGGTGTGCACTGCTTCTATCTTACTCCTTCCTCTCACTTGCATTGGTATTAGACATACGTCTATATGGGTGTTCTGTGGACAACCCATATGTGAGCATTCTTTGAGAAAATGGCTTTGCCTCCATCTCAGCTCCCCACAATGCCTGGCAGAATTTATTAGGCACCAGGGGAAGGTCTCTGTGTAATGGATGATTAAACAAGGTGCAAGACACTGGACAGGTAACAATGAAGGGAAGAGTGAAGCACCAGACACCATGTCAGCATTCGAAATGTTTGCAGCCTACTTGGCAGATAAGCAGTAACACATCCCACATTAACTAACAATGCGATACTGATATGGTTTGGAGCTGTGTGCCAGCCCAAATCTCATGTTGAATTGTAATCCCCAATGCTGGAGGTGGGGCCTGGTGGGAGGTGACTGGATCATGCGGGCAGATTTCCCCCTTGGTGCTGTGCTCATGAAAGTGAATGAGTTCTCATGAGATTTGGTTATTTAAAAGCATGTGACACCTCCCCACCTCCTCTTCCTCTTGCTCTGGCCATGTGAAGTCCTGGCTCCCCGATGACTTCTGCTATGATTATAAATTTTCTGAGGCTACCCCAGAAGCTTGGCAGATGCCAACATCATGCTTCTTGTACAGCCTGTGGAGCTCTGAACCAATTAAACCTCTTTTCTTTATAAATTACTCAATTAGGTAATCTTTTTTTTTTTTTTTTTTTTTTGAGATAGTCTTGCCCTATCGCTCAGGCTGGGGAAGGCAGTGGTGCAACTTGTCTCACTGCAACCTCCACCTTCTGGGTTCAAGCAATTCACCTGCCTCAGTCTTCTGAGTAGCTGGGATTACAGGTGCCTGCCACCACATCCAGCTAATTTTTATATTTTTGGTAGAGATGGGGTTTCACCATGTTGGCCAGGTTGGTCGCAAACTCCTGACCTCAAGTGATCCACCTGCCTCGGCCTCCCAAAGTGCTGGGATTACAGGCGTGAGCCACTGTGCCTGGTCCTAATTACGTAATTTTCTACAGCAGTGTGAGAACACTTCTTCTGGCTTAAAAAAAATTCATTGGTTTTACAATGCAGCATCCTATTCCTGTGTGGGACAGGAACGCAGTAGAGCCACAGTCCACTTAACCACTAGTTACCAACATGGATGTAGAGTGAGTCTCTTAAACAAACTGGGTAAAAGTCCGAGATTTCTCAATCATACATGTTTTTCTTGGCTAGGGAATTGTATAATCTGGGACAAGAAGATGACCAGAATCCAGCCAAAGTTCTAAGGGAGAAAAATGGAAATCCAGAAGCCTAGCTGTTTATCCACTTTTCTTTATTAAAAGCCTCCACCTGCTTTGAAGACTGTTCACAGGATCCTCCATCTGCCTCAAAACACCTGCTTCCCACTCACCCTTAAAGGCCACTTAGAGTTCCAAGGCCAAGCTGCTGCTTCCTCCCTTGAGCACTGTTTTTGGCTAATTGGTATTATTAATATTTTGGATATTCCAAATCAGGTAACTTTCAGGGGCACTCCTCCAAAGGTATTAATTCTATCATGTCAAATATTTGGGCTTTAATATAACCTTTTTATCTCTCTCAAATCATGCCACTTTTATGGCTTGATTCTGGAAGTAAGATTTTACCCCACAATCTCTCTTTCTCTTTTTTTTAAGTCAACCGCTAACATTAATAAATGTTTAAGAGGTTTTCTTACTCCCAAGCTACTCTGAATTGAGGACTGCAAATTATAAAACTGATCAGATTCCAGCCAGTTTCATTCATCATATATCCTCAGCTGTTTAGTTTCACATTCTGTTTCATATTCTCCAATCTGTGAAGAGTCAAGTATAAATACTGTTAGCATCATGGAAGGAAGTAACCCACTTCATAGTGTTTTGAGCCAGGGACCTCTGGGGTATAGGGGTGAGGGGTAGATGGGGAAGGACCACAGAGATAAAGGGTAACACAGAAACCTGAATAACAGTGTCTTTGCTTATGGCTTTGACTGGCTAGCGTTTAACACCATCACTCCTGAGATTAAAATGAAACAACTTGCCAAGGATAATTTCATTCTTAAAGCCAACAGTGCAAATGTAGAGTTTCCTGAAGAAATAATCTGTGGAAATGCACAGCTTCCCAAACATGCCATGGTATGCTAATATGGAATATTTTGCTTTCCAAGGAAACACCAAAAAATATCTATCGTGTTAGGAATGGAGCAAACAACATGAAAAGAGAACAGGAAAAGCATCTTTTCTCCCAGAAATGACCTCCTCCCTCGAAATAGTTTCCCACGTGCTAATTGACTGAGGGGATGAGACAGTGTGAATATAGCTACTATCTGCACTTAAGTCTTCTTATCCTCAAACCCACAGTTTACATCAAAAGCTGCTAAAGTAAACCAAATAAACCAAAACAGAACATTTCATTCCCATGTATTTAGAGGCAGGAAGAGTCATCATAGCCCTGAAAATATAGGAGAGCCATGCCTAAGGATTCAGAAAAACAGGCCAAAGTCAGGCTTAAAGAATACCCACATCCCCTGCTATCACAAAACCGTCAGTGTCCAGGGGAACTGGGGAACAGAGACCTGGACTTTAGAAGTGGCACCCTCCTTTATTTATTCTGAGCATTCCTTTCTTCCCAGATGGATGCTGTAGAGATCCCCAGTAGCTCATAAGCAGATTACTGGGACTGTGGCTCTCCTTCGTCCCTGTCCCACACAGAAATAGGATGCTACATTGTAAAACCAATGAATTTTTTTTTTTTTAACCAGAAGGAGGCAAAACTTTAGCTTTCTCTTTTATTCTACCGAGTAGCTGGATTTTGGAAACCAACATACCATGCCCTAAATTAAATTACTTACAATGCAATAAATAGCGCAACCTGAATTTTTGGTCCCTAGTCTTTGTTCACTGGGGTGTAACACGTAATCCAGCCTCTTGGTAACAAGGGGCTATCTAGGCAGTACTTACATTAACAGAAAAGAAAACGAGGGCTGTGACTCATAAGCAGTATGTGGTCCTTCCCACAAGTGGGTACTTAGCGTCGTGTGGAAACTTGGAGGCTTTAATAAGAATCTGCTAAGTCAGCACCATGTAATATAATGGAAAGAACTCAGTGAGGACTTAAGAAACCCTGATTCTGCTTTGGGTTTCACTGGCCATTTCTCCCGTGATCTGAGGAGCCACATCACTTCCTTAGTTCTTAGCTTCTTTATCAAAGTAGACCAAGCAATTCTCATGTTTCTTCCAGGTCTCTGCCTTAACCCTAATCTGGGGGTTAACCTCCAGGAGTCCTCTTCAGCCTGCTTCAGCTTTTCTAACAGGCCTCCCCTTGATCTAGTGACCTATCTTCTACCCTAGGATAAATGCCACATGGCTTGGCTCTAAGTGTGTTTGTAAGACAACTGTTTTTCTTTTTTTCTTTTTTCTTTTTTTTGCGATGGAGTTTAGCTCTTGTTGCCCAGGCTAGAGTGCAATGGCGCAAACTCAACTCATGGCAGCCTCCGCCTCCTGGGTTCAAACAGTTCTCCTGCTTCAGCCACCCAGTAGCTAGGATTACAGGCAGGCACCACCACGCCAGGCTAATTTTGCATTTTTAGTGGAGATGGGGTTTCTCCATGTTGGTCAGGCTGGTCTCATACTCCCGATCTCAGGTGATCCTTTTGGAGGCCCACCCTGGCCTCCTAAAGTGCTGGGATTACAGGTATGACCCACCACACCTGGCCCCAAGACAACTGTTTAGTCCTACAACGCATTTTACATGTATGGCCAAGAAGCAGGAACACTATCTCTGAAGGCTTCTTTTCTACCAGCGAAGAGGCTGTCAATCACAATCCCTCTGAGCCTTGCCATTCCCATCACTAAAGTGGGACAGACAATATCTTATGGAGCTGTCACGTCAGATCTAAGCCATTGTGAACACTACCAGATACAATTCATGATGTCTGGTAGGTGTGAATTTCAGATACACAACTTGGGACATACATTAAAAATTATACATTGTTTATCTAAGATACAGATTTAACTGGGTGTCCTATATTTTGCTGTTTGCTAAATCTGGCAACTCGACATGTTAGACGCTGCTGTTGTTGGTCTTAGGTACCAGGCTGCCTTACCAAACCAGTCTTTACTTAGAATAAAACAAGGGCCCATGTGGTTCACGTTCCTTCCGCCCTCCTACGCCAGCCCCCTTTCTGGTTCTCCTATTGGCTTCACATCATTACACATCCCACCTGGGTCCCCTCCTCCTGAGGCACCTGAATTGTCTACTGACCACCCTTTCAAGCATAACCCCTTCCCCTTCCCCTTCCCCTGGTTGAGCAAACTGATTGGATTAACTCATACACATGCGTTACTGATCATTTAATGAGTCATCAGCACCCTCTGAAACCAATGCTTTCTCTTTAAAGGTCATTTACAACCTCAAAATAACTGAATTACAGGTCGTGTAAAAGTTGAAGTGGAAAAAAAGGTAGGCAATGGGGTGGGAGTAGCTGGTACCACTTAGGAGCTGGCTCTCACAGCAGTTCCTCCAACGTGTTTCTGCTTTTCCTAGCCTTTTCCTTTTCTTCTGGGTCCACAACAGTTACTGGGGCAGTTGAAGAGCCCGTGGACAAAGGGAAAAAGGAAGGGGGAAGTGGGATGAGAGTACTAGGAAGCTGGGGTCTACGTGTAGCCTGGTCACCACGTTCTGCCCTCAGCCAGCAGCTGCCCTCAGGGAGTTCCACGCAGTTCCTAGGGTGCCCCGGCACTAGCATCTAATTTAGATTGTGGAAAACACAAAGTCTGAGTGACTTTTCTCCTTTTTAACCAGCTTGTGTTCGGAGATGAAATACAATTGTACAAGCTTATAATTCCTGGAACCTAAACGTTGATCAAATATAACTCCACAGGCCATAAAGAGCCATCTCTCTGTTTCCAGAGCAAATCAGTCCAGATGGCTCAGAAGTCTAAGTAGAAGAGGAAGGGGTGGGACACACTTGCATCAGTATTACTCAAACATCCCTGACTGTGTCAGTCACCCCTTCAGCCCAACTCTGCCCTCCTGGAAGGATCCCTGTCCCTAGGTTATTCTGTCCAAGATGACCCTTCACCTTCATGTCCACAACCCAACAGCTACCAGCATTTCACCAAACCACCAAAAGGAAAAGGCCTGAAATAAAGTAAATCACAAAATGTGGTAAACAGATAGTATACTATCCTTCTCAAACAATTAGCCTCAGCAGTGTGACCCTCATGGGACCTTTGGGGGAGATGGAACTGCTAAATATCCTGGACCCTATTCAAGGTGAGGTAAATTATTACTAACTGGGGACCAAGAAATTCTGTCTTATAATTTTTCAATACCCATTGCAGGGAGCTGGAGGCACCT